CATCAGCTTTCTTCACCACATTTGCTTATGTACCGAAAGAATTTATTTTCACAGTCCTGGAGCTAAAAGTCCAAATCTGGGTCTCAGCTGTGTCAATTCCTTCTGTGAGCTTCCAGTGTCTATCAGCAATCCTTAGTATTTCTCTGCTTATAGACAGGGCCTCACAGTCTCTCTCTCTCTCTCTCTCTCTCTCTCTCTCACCTATGTGTGTCTCTATCTCTTCGGTTCTTTGTCATACTCAGAAGTGATTAGGACTAAAACCTACCCTGTACTGCCATGATTTCAGTCATATAAGAAAATCCCCAAGCAGGATCACATCCACCAGTAGGGAGACTATGACATCCAGTATATTTTTGTTTGGGAGGGGGTGGGGGACAGGGCATACAAGTCAATATTTTACAATATCCTCAGGAGAGCATTAGATCAGTTCATGTAAGTCTTAGCCTATGCCAGAAGTCTAGCTTCACTGGTCTATCAACTCCATGATACATTCTGGAGGGTCTATATACAAGCAAACAAACCCACTGCCATCAAGTGGATGCCAACTCAGAGTGACCCTATAGGACAGGGTAGAACTACCCCTGTGAGTTTCCTAGATTGTAACTCTTTACTAGAGAAGAAGATCCTGTCTTTCTGCCTTGGGCTGGCTATGGGTTTCAAAGTGCTGACTTTACAATTAGCAGTCCAACTTAAAACCACTACACCTGGGCTCCCTTTTTTGCCTTGAGCTTTATGAAGAGTTCAAGAATTCCCTGACCACCCCCACCCCCAAAAGGTTATCAACACACTGTGTGATTTAAAACTCCTTCCTCATGCTGCAAATTGCTGAAGGGGGTGGGGGTGGGGTAGGAATAAACAATTTATCACAGTAAGTTGGTTATTTGAAAGAATTGGCCACATATCCCAGCCATTTTGGTTTTGCTTTGCTAGTTTATTCATGATAAAAAGTAGCTCTCACAGTATTTCCATCCCATCCCCAGAAATCAGTTGTAGAAAAATTACAAAGGGAAAATCCACAAGCCACGTAATAAAATTCTGGGAGGGCAGGCTGAGTAACTGCAGGGAGAGGGTAGTGTTGAAGATGTGAGGCATCTGTAGGTGATCCTTGTATATGGCTGGCCTTCCTGGGCCTCCACTGGCAGAGCCATTGTCATGTGACCTTCAAAACAATTGCTGGTAAACAGTGGCATTATCATTGGAGCCCGTAATCAGATATTGGTTGTCAGAAGACATATCAAAACACAGGATTGCTGATGATTCCACTACCTGAGGGGGGATAGGGGACCAAAGAACAAGACCACCACGGAGAAAGGTAAGGCAGAAATGAAGCCTTCATTTAGTGCTGTTTCAAAAGCTTAGCATAGACCTGGGGCTTGATCTGGAGACAGGCGACATCACCCCAGATCTCAGCCCAGGGCTCAAACGCTCCAGATTCACAGGCTCTTAAGTTCCCATCCCTCCCAATCAATAAAATTATCCTCGATGCCATCTTAGAGGTATATCGTACTACCTCTTAGAGATGGCCAACTGGGATCTG